AACAGATGGAGGCGAGGGAGACCGGGACGGGGGAGGAAAGAACAGCCAGACGGTCTGGGGGGAGGCGGGTGGAAGAGAAGAGAGAACACAGCCACCCTCCCCATCCTAGAACTTAAGGAGGTTGTGGCGGGGCGGGGGTGGGGGCTGCGGTTAAGAAACAGGGGTGGGTGGAGAAAGACTGGGGGACTGGACAGAACCCAGGGGGACGAGGACTAAGACCCTGAGAGAGGGGACTAGAGGTCCTAGAATGAACAGTGCAGGGTGGTAAGGACCCCTGCCTCCCATCAGAACATGTCAGCCAGTAAGATTAGACTTTGACTGAGGTTTGTTACATTTGCTATCAGATGTTATCTGACCCTGAAACTCAACACATAACTGCAGCCCCTGAAATGTGATATTCATTGTTAATACTATGACATGTCAGATCTCTGACGGAAGCTTTCTAACCGAGGGGGGTCTCAGTATTTCACATCTATACAATGGGGGCAAGAGTAGAATGTGAGGTTGCAAAGAGGGCGTTTCAAGGTAATCTAATCATCTCAGCCTAAGAGAACCAGGGATGCAGAGATGCAGGTGAGCCCAGTGCTTTGCAGAGGACAGGAACAGAAAGGGGAGAGCCAAGATGGAGTGCCCCCTCCCCTCCTTGGACGCCTGGAGCTCAGATCTGAGGATGTGGTGATGCGGAAAATAGTGCTCTGGAGGCAGCTGACGAAAATGAAGAAGGTATAATATCAATCTCCTCTCCCTGGGTCTCTGCTTCTGCTTCGCTCAGGTTCCCTGTCCCCTCCTCCACTCCTCCAAGTCTGTCCCTTTGGTTCTCTTTTACATTCCCAATGTCTAATGAAGGAAACAGGCTCAGAAATCAGAAGTGGCATGTCCAGGGTCACACACCAGAGTAGCAATGGGGCCTGATGGTTTCTCAGCCCCCGTGACTGCCCCACACGGGGCCTGGCCCTCAGAAAGGAGGCAGCTGAGCTCCTGTTTCTCCTGCTTTCCCCTCTGCACATGTATGTTGTCCCAGATCGCGCCGAGTTGTCGTCTGTTTCCTGGTGTGAGGGAGTTCTCCACCCACACCAGCATCACTCTCCTCCAGGAAACCCTGCAGCCTCCATCCCTGGCTGGGGAGGGACTGACCCAGGTTTCCATGATGGTACTTGTACTCATCCATTGATTCCTCCCCCTTCTCCAACTGAGCCTCAGTTTCCCCAGCTTTGTCTAGGGGATTAAATAGAATCAGGGTGTTGTGTCCAGTACAGGGCATCTTCCAACCATCAAAGTGAACCCCAGGATTCAGATGCAAATGTTCCTCTCAAATCAAGCTCCTTGAGAACTGTCCTGGTGGGGACCCTGCACTCTGGGGTCTCTGAGCCCCAGGAGGCAGCTCAGAGGTGAGGATGAGGCAGAGACAGACTGGTACAAACCCAGACACAACGAAAAATGAGAAGCAGGGACTGAGGGAGGGGGACTGAGGAACGCATCCCTCTGCCACCACCTCCTCCCAGCTCCCCACCCCCATCAGCACGTCTCTCTCCCTCTCCTGACTTCGCACTGATGTATTTTGAGAAACTCGTGAAAGGAGGCGAGAAAAAGGGTGGGGAGGGGCTGGAAGATTGGGAAAAAAAGGGGTGAGGTTATCTCAGCTCCCCTACCCCCTCCCCAGCACTGCACCATCCTCTGGTCCCCTCCCTTCTGTCCAGCCTTATTCCCATCTCGCAGAGTCCTAGAGGGTGGGGTAGTGATCTGCAGCAAGCAGAACTAGTGTTAGACTTAAGGAAGGACTGGCATGGCCTAGTGAGATGAACTAAGGGTCAACTAAAGATGGGATCAGGGCTGTGGGCCGAGGGGATGGGTCTGAGGGAATGTCAGCAGGGGCATGGTGCTGATGAGGCCATCTCCTCCCTGCACTGTGGCCAGATATTTTTAGGTTTCTCCGCAGCTGAGTAATTTCTCTGACTTGGAGCCAGGGTTGGAGTTGGGGGTGAGAGATGGGGGGAGGTGTCCAGACTGCCTGGGGACACCCAGGTCACTGGGGTCATTTCCCTGGCTGGGAGGAAGTCCCTCTTAGCTCTAGTCCATATATTTTGGGAATTCTGCCCTAACCCCAGAGCCTAATGTTTGGCCTGCAAATCTCTCCTCCCCACTCCTCACCAGGACCCAGGATACCCTACTTCTTACTCCCAGCTTAACTCTCCTCAAGAACAAGGACCAGTGGGCCCCAATCCGCTTTAGCTTCAGATTAAACCCTCTGAGAAACGGAAACAGAGAGACACTGAAAGATGGCGAGACCCAGGGTCGGGAGATAAAAGCCCAGCAGGAGAGGACAGGGACTCAGAGAGGGATTGGCAGACATCTAGTGAGAGCAGTGGTCACAGAATCAGAGTCAGGGGGACAGAGAGACTCAGAGATAAAGGGGAACAGAGAACCAGAGAGAGGGGGACAGAGATTCAGAGAAAGGAGGCAGAGGAAAGGTGGGTGAACAGAGATGAAGAAGTAGGGGAGGGAGGTCAGAGCCCCAAAGAGAGCGGGATATACAATTCCAAAGAAAACGGTAGAGCCTGGGGTGGGGTGGGCCGCAAAAAAAATGAAGGAGGTGATGGGAGAGACTAGACCACGGAAAGCGGCGCCGTCGGAAAACGAGGGAGAAAGCTGGACAGATGGGTGGACCTCCCTCCCATCCTTAGGTATCGCTTGTCCATCTGTCCGTCTGCACTCAGGTTGGAATTAACATCCTCCTCGGACCCCCGCGCTTTTTCCCGCCCAGCACCCCCCACCACGCTCACCGGTGCAGCCTCCCGAGGGCGCGACCCGCTAGCTTCCGAAACTCCTCCTGGCGGAACTCCATGGTGGCTGCCCCGACCGCCAGTCGGCCCGCCGATCCCCCCGCCCGCGGGCCCGGGCGGCCGTGTCCGGGTTCCCGGGGTCCGCCCCGGCCCGGCCGGCCCCGCAGCTCCGCTCGGGGGGGAAGTAAGCTGCGAGTGCGGGCTGCCCGGGGGCTGTCACTGGACTCAGCGTCGGGGGCGGGGCCCCGCCCATACCTGCTAGGCCCCGCCCCTGGCTCCAGTCCCGCCCCCTCACCGCCCTCCGTCCCGCTCTGTCCCCCGCCCTGCCATTCCAAGACCACGCCTCTGCATTCTGAACTCCCGTCTGAATTCAGACGCCCCCGATGCCGTCCCTTCCCGATTACTCCGCGACCAGTACTATCTCCCTAAGCTCCTTCTGTCCTAGACTTTGTCTCCTCCCAAATTCTCCTGCCCAGTTGAGATTCGAGTCCATTTCAGTTCCCCCTAATTTTGAGGGGTAATTTTCGTCTCCTACGGCTCCATCTTCCTATGAGTTTCCTTCCTTTCATTCTCCGAATTTCTGTGCCCTCCAGTTCCACACCCCGCCCCCGAGTCCCATCCCCACCCCGCCTCATCCCTGTTCCAGTTGTCTCGTTCAGATTTTCTAATACAGGTAATTCCTTCCCCCCAGACTCCCTACCCCTATTTCGTCCCCCCATTGTCCTCCTCTGGTTTCTTCCCTTTGACTTCCGCCCACCTCTATCTTACCCCTTTGGAACCCCATCCCCCTCAGGTACTATTTCCTCTCTAGGCGCATCTCCCTACCGGTCCCTTCAACCCTGACTTCCTTCCCCTCTAAGTTCCATACCCGACAGCCACACTCCCCACCGGTGGCCAGCTGCGACCCATAGAACTCCCTCTCCAGCCTGGGATCTATCCCGTCCTTTGAGTTCTGTCCCCACCCCTTGAGCTGCATCTCCTCCCCTTTGGACATTTTCCGCCCCTGAGTTGTCTCCGCCTCCTGATTTCTGCCCCCTCCCCTGGGACCTGTCCCTTCCCCTGGGTTCTGTCCTTCCCCCTAGGATCGATCCCTGCCCTGATTTTTTGCCCCCCTTGCCTCGAATCTGTCCGAGTTCTGTCCCCACCAACTGAGTTCTCGCCCCTAGTTGTAGTCCCCTCCCTCTGCGGTCTGTTCCGCCCTCTAGGTTCTTACTCCAGCCCCGCCCCTTTGGGGTTGACAGGGGACTCTCTCCCTCCAGCAGGTGGGTCCTGTCCGGCTCCTTCTGCCAGACCAACCCTCTCCTCGACGCTGAGTCCATCTCCAGATCCAGGCCCCAGGAGGATGCTCCTTTCCTCACTGCCTCCCTGCGTCGGGCCGTAAATGCATTTGGGATTAAATTTTCATGATGTGGCATAGGCCAGCAAGGGGGTGGGAGGGAGAAGCTGGCGCGGCGGGCGGGCGCCACGTGGCCGACGGGGTGGCCAGGCAACCACTGGCCCCCGCGGTCTCTCGCCTCTAAGCCTTGTCTCGCGGGTCTCTGGGTCTCAGTTTTGCCTCTGTTTAAGAACCCCCTGGGTCCCTGAGGAAGAGGTGGCTGGGGCTGAGCTTCTGGGTTTGAGGGAGGAGTAGCCCGCGATGCTGTCCAGCAGCGCCACCCTGTGGTGGCAGAATCCCTCGCCGCGTGCGGAGGCGGTGGCCGCGGCGCGGGGCCAGGTGTGAAGGTGGAACAGATGGTGAAGAGGAGAGAGTGGGAAGAGGGCCCCCGCCGCTGCCAAATCCCAGGCCTTTGCCTGAACCATCACCATGGAGACGGAGCAAGGAGGAAAGGACCCAGCCCCACGCGTTATCTGTAACTGGGAAAGAGTTCTTCGGCCTCCCGGGGAGGGTCCCCGTCCGAACTGCAAGCCCCAGCAGCCGCTGGATCTCACCATTTGCTCCGAGAGGGCCGTGTACTCCGAGGGCTGCTGGGAGTTGTAGTTCTCTGAGACAACGCGCTGGACTGCTTTCCGCCCCCTGGTGGACAGCCCGCGGCCGCTCCCTCAGACCCTATCGAGGGCGTCTGCCTACCCTCTCACCTTGTCTTCATCTACTCCCACCTCCCCACCCAAATCGCTCCGTTCCGGCCCCACAGGCCTCCTCGCTGTTCTCCAACATTTACCATTAAGGCTCCTACATTTACTTATCCTCCTAGAATTCACTATGGAATGAGTTCAATGGTTCAACAAGTAATAATTTATTGACCTCCTACTAGGTGTCACATCATAGGGGACACAGCTATACTGAAAGTAACACTGGACATTGGTGACCACCGGAGGAGGACTCAGCCAGGGAAGATCAGAGAGAGCTTGAAGCTTGAAAAGCTTTCCAGGGAAAGTTCACTAAAAGGGATGACTTTGAGGGCAGAGTCTGGAGTATCCGCAGCAGAGGAAACAGAACTTGCAGGCAGGATGGGAAACAGTTTGGTGTGACTGTGATGGGAAGTACAATTCCAGGATAGGGCAGCTTGTGCGGATGACGGTGTGGATCAAGTCACCAAAGGACTCAGGAAAAGTCCCCTGTGAGGTCAGGACCACTTTAGATTTCCTGGGTCTCAACAGAGAAGAGGACAGAAAGTAGAGGGAACAGCAGAACAATGAGGAAGTATGAAAAACCAAAATGGTCAGGACACTGCTGAGTGCAGCAAGATGAAGAAAGAGGGAGTCTTAGAGGCCAAATGGGGGGAGAAGGGGGCAGACCACACAAAGCTGGGAGTGCCAGGCCAAGGGGCTTGGACCTTCTCCTGGGGGTGCTGGGGAGCCAAGGAGGGACCCTGAACAGGAGAGGGGCAGGTCAGCTTTGGGGCCCTGTGAGAATCAACAGTGGAGAGACTGGAGGCCAAGAGGCCTGAGCTAGGGCAGTGGCCTCTATGGGACTTCAGTGCTGCAGCCCAATATCCCTCTGACCTCCCACTTCCCACGTACTTCTTGACAGACACAGAACAAAGGCAAAAACTTTATTTCAGTTTTAGACACACCACCAGCCTTTTCTCCCCACTTGGAAGCATGGGTGACTCCAGATCAAGACGGCACAGACAGGAGGGGCATGGCCACCAGCAACTGCTGAAGAGGGAGAGGAGAGGGGATGAGGATTCAGACCAGCACCTAACCCCCTCCCCCCTCAGACCCAAGATCAAGTTCCCCAGAGTCCCCGCTTCCCTGTGCCCCTTCTCCTGACCCCCAAGGTACCTTTCTCTTCCTATGGAAGGCTGCCTTGCTCTCGTCAGAGTTGATCTGCAGGGGGATGTAGGCATCCAGATGGTACAGCTGCTGGGAGCCCCCCATCACCAGGCGGTTCTCCCCAATCTCTAGCGACAGCCCCAGAGCTCCATCCTGGGGATATGGTGGAATCAGCCCACCCTTCCCTTTCCAGCAACAGGGCCATAATAACATGGACCAGGGAAAGCAGCTTCACATGTTGGAATGCTATATTTAAAAAGTCTAACCTTCTAGGAAAAAGGTGGGAGACTGAGTGCTTATAATGCCCACACATCCCCAGGACAGCACCGGAAGTGGGCCTGAGGGTCCCCAGGGACAGAGGGGCAGCCTTAACCAGGATCACACTGGTCCAGGAACAGGCTGGACCAGATCACTGCCCCTCGAAGACCCTGACTCTTCCGGGCCTCATTCTCCTGCTCTGCTCAAGCACTCACCAGTTTGGGGAGGTCTATTTCAGCCAAGAGGAGGTCAGGGGCTTCCAGCCATAGGTTCAGGTGAGGCTTCTCAGGGCTGAGAAGGAACAAGACCCCAAACTGGGTAACCAGGTCTTTGCCAGCACTGTTCCTTTCGCCTGGCATGCTATTCCCTGGCCCTTTCTCCCTCTTACCAGCGTCCTGCTTCTCCCCTCTGGGTTTCCAGGACCCCGGGACGCGGCCCCCTAAGGGCAGGAGGACTGAAGGAGGGACTCCAAAGAGACTTGTGAGAGGGAACCCATTGAAGGCGTACCCTTCCTCAAGCCTCAGGGAGTCAGGCGCGCACAGGTTCCCCAGCTCCTGGATCCGAGGACGCTGCTGGGAACGGATATTTTGCTGGGAGAGGGAGCCCAGGAAAGACCGATTCTTCAACATGCGCCATTCTGCAGGTAGAGAGCGGGGTATCAAAGATCTCGTGGTCAGGTTTCCCTTTGCTTCCTGAAGGCTTTGCACAGCAAAAGCCTCACAGGAGAGCTGCGCCCTTGGGGGAAGATCCGAGGCATCTGACCACACCGCGAAGTTTAGGAAGCCTGCCCACCTTAGCCCCGCCCTTCCCAAGGTATCTGCCAATAAAATCTGGCCCCTGGAGCTGTTCCTGGCCCCGCCCCTCCCAGGCTAACCGGACTGTGCCCCTTTTTGGAATCCCAGGCGGGGTCCCACCCCACCGAGGCTCACCAAAAGCCTTGCCCTATCCCTGGAATCCGCATCCTAGCGGGTGTCCACTAGCCCCACCTCTCCCAAGGGCTGTCCCCAAGCTCTGCCAGGCTCGGCTCCGCCCCAGTGGCCCAGGCCCTGCCCCTCACCCGGATTCAGCTGCAGTCTGTATTTGTCCTCAAGGCCCTCCCTGGCGATGATGACCACGAGCTCTCGCAAGAAATCGCTGTTCTAAAAGTGAGAGAGGAGAAAAGACATGCGGGAGAATTCGGGGTGGAGGGAGAGGCCCCTGCCCAGGCCTCATCCACAGCCCCGCCCCCCACCTGCATCCTCCGGTAGAAGTCGCTGTTGACAGCTACGTCGAAGGCGGTACAACCCTGGCCTTCTGCGGAGAGAGAAAAGGGGTGAGACCCCCAGCCCTCCGTGGGAACCCCACCTCCCAGACAGACAAGAATAAATTATAGCAGCTTCAAGAACCAGAGATGGTGAGGAAGTGAGGGCTCAAGACACACGCTTGCTAGTCTGGACTCTCATACCAGCCTTCTCTCCAGCCTTCTCTCTAACCCCTCTGGTCCTTCCCCACTATGTCCCAGAGCTGACCCTGACCCTCGCCTGTTCACAGACCTCCCATGGCTCCCCAGTGCCCCCAGACGAAGATATGAGTCCTGCAGCCTGGTGCTGGATGCCCTGTGTGATCTGCCCTTCCCACCTGGAGAGAAGGTCACTTCTCTAGTGAAATCCCTTTAAATTTCTTCCAGTCATTCTCGATCACTGACCAATCCAATTCAATCATTCTCTACTGCTTCTGGACCCATCTGTCCCCTCTTTTAGAATCCTCTTCTCTTTTGGCCTGATGAACTCCTGTAGTACCTTCACATCTTTTATCTGACATCTCCTCCTCCAGGAAGCCTCCCCTGACCTTTCTGTGTGGGTGAATCACACCATATTAAAATTGCATCTGTCTCCTTTGCCCTCACCCAAGACTGGGAGTTTCTCAAGGGCAGGTTCTGGGTTTGATAAGTCCCAAGGCACTGCCCAAAGCTTCATCCCAGGAGGCCTCAGGGGACATAGATGAATTGAAAAAGCAAGGATATAAATAAAGACAGAAACGCAACAGAGACAGAGGCGAGACAAGGCAGAGACACAGAGACAGGGCAGAAGGGAGGAGAGGACAGGAATGAATGTGAGACCTGGCCCGGGCCTGGAGTCAGGAGATCCACCAGTGAGTGTACCTGCCCAGGCCACCCTCTCCTGGGATGGGGCAGGGAGAAGTGCCAACAGCCAGGGAGGCAGAACTGGCACTGCTCCACACAGCTGATGCTGGATGCCCAAGAGGTTAAGGATATACCACAGGGAAAGGATCAGATCAGGGGGCCAGGTTTCCAGGTCCTGAGGGAGAAGGGTCCTGGGCCCTGGATTCTTGGATCTTAGGGAAGAAAGGACCCAGAGGGCCAGACTGCTGGGTCTTCTGAGGGCACTGACTTGCATCCAGTTCGGCATGAGGCTCTCCCAGACTCATGGGGATGCGAAACCCGGCTTGGTCCTCCTCCAGCATTTGAAGCAGCTCATCCTCCGTCATGTCAGCAGGAGGAGGGATGGAGGAAGAGTGGCAGATGTTGATGAACACCTTCCCTTCGGATGAGTTGGTCTTTATGCAGAAACCTGGTGGGAATGGATTTGTCCATCAGTCTCTGCTTAAGTCTTGGTTTCCATCCATTTTCTCCCCAATCTCTGTCCTTCACTTGATCTTTCACCCTCTTCAAGTCTCAGCCCTCCACTTTTTGGGGCTGCTGCCCTCCCCGCCCCTGGGCTCTCCTTTTTAACATCTGTGCATCTGTGTCCCCCTAGTCCCTCCCATCCTCCTCCTCTCTTGGGATCTCCATCCCTTCCCTGCTCCCTGGGTCTCTGCTACTCTCTGGCAAGCCTCTATACCCCATTATTGTGTCTCTTTACTCCCTTCTCTCTCTGTTTCCCCTGCCTTTCTCACCAGGTTGAGGTTGGATCTGTGTAGATTCTGGTCTGCTTGTCTGGGTTTGCTGGAACTCCTTGGAGGCCTGTGTGAAGGAAAACGACCTCCAGGCTTGGCATCTGAGCTACCAGACCCGTCATTTGTTCTTCAACTGTTTACTGTGCAATTGTTACGTACAGGAGCTGTGCAGGGAGTAAGACATATTATGTCCCTTTCCTCCCTTGAGGACACAGAGAACAACGCCAGCCCCACTGGCAATTCTCTCAGAGCCTAAAAAACTTAGAGTTAAGCAATTAAAATTCCGTGTAGGCCCTGTTGCCGCCCCAGCATTCTGGGAACATCTCTCAGCTCGTGTGCACGCGCGCACACACACACGCATACAAAATCCCAAACGCCCAGGGACTCAAGAGCCTGTCAGTACACACCTGCAGCAGCAGCTCCTCGAAACGCGCCCTCTCAGCACCCATCGTCTCTTCCTCGCTTAGCTCCGGCACCAGCAGCTTCGAGTCAGCCATGACCCAGGGACCTAGGCGTCCTCAGAATCAAAGACGTGAGGGGACCTTCCCCGGGATCTGAACCTTCTGCCGGGCCCTCAACCGAAGGCTGACATTCACTATTCTGTACAAAAATCTAAGAATCTGGCCTGTGACTACAGTTCCACTCAGAGCAGATGCCGTGGTCAATGTTGGGGACCAATACCTGGATGCTTTCTAGGTCCTATGCGCGTGTGTAAATGACAGCAGCTCTTCCGGTCTCTGTGTAACCGGGAACTTCAATAAGCCGCACCTACGACGACCCCCAACCTCATCCATGGATTAACCAATCGTAGTTAAAGTTTGAAGCCACGCCTCCCACCTCAACCAATCAAAACTAAAGCCCGAGGATGAGCATTAAATGCCACAGTTCCGCTCTTTCCCTACAACCACACCCGGCCAGGCTACTGGGCAGTCAGGGAGCACACTTCAAAAACCTTCATTTCAATATCCATCCTAACTTTAGACTCCCTTTTGATCTCTGAAGTAGCGCTTCGTCCCAAAACTAGATTCGATTCTCTCTAGTAAACATATTTCAGAGTAAAACCTGCACTTCCTGTCTCCAAATGGACGGGGTGACGGGAAAACACCAATACGGCCATTCCTCCAATCTGGAACCCCCCTAATTCTGCAAGGAACCCACATTTTCATGCCCGCTTCTCCCCGCCTTGAGGATTGCGCATGCTCCAAACTACATTTCTCACCACTGGCACACGGGCGGGGTCACCGGGTTCTAAGGCGGGGTTACGCTCTATCTCCCGTTGCCCCGCCCTTTGGGCTGGAGGGGGCGGTGCCGCCCTTCGGACTTCGAGGTTCTTCTGGGCAGAGCGCCCCGCAGTCCCTCTTGGAAAACGGCCTGGGCCGGTGATGGCCACGGCGCGCACAGGGCGCAGCGCCCCGGAGATCTTTGCCACGATGGAGTACGGACCAGCGCCGGAGAGCCACGCATGCGCACTGGTGAGGGCCTGCCTGGCCGGCGCTGCCCATCCCCCTCCCCAGTCCTCCGGGCCCCGTTTTGCGCGCGGGCTCTCGTGATCCGCGGCGGCGCGCAGCAGCTCCGCCCCCTCAGAACCCGTGATTCCCGCCACCCCATGGGACCAGCCTCTGGAGGACGTTCCCTTGAGCCTCTAACGGTTGCTACCTCTTTGCCCTGTAGTCCGTGCCCTTAATTTCCAGTGCTTTTTGATCCGACGTCGTGGTGTTTCTCCGGAATTCCTGTGGGGCCCTCTTGATCACCCGGAGACCTTCGGAGACTCCCCAGGGCCCCTTCAATACTTGTGGGGCTTCTATGATTCCAGGAATTCGACCCGAGTACTTAACTTACTGTCCTCACCTGCGGCCCCGCAGGATACCCCCATGGGCTCCCATGACTCCTCCCCCTCTCAGAATGTACCCTGGAGCTCCATGATTTCTAGGGTGCCTTAAAATCCTCGTGAAGCTCCCTTGATCCTTCAGGGTCCCCAGAACACTTTTGGGGTTCCTGTGGATAACTGGGTGCCTCGAATATTCTGTAATTACCCAGGCCCCTCAGAATTCCCCCAGGGGGCTCTCATGATCCCACGAGGTCCTCTAGCACCCAGGCATGAAAAGCTTGGGCTTCTTGTGAAGGAGAGAGGAGGCTGGAACAGTGGTCCAAGTGGGAGATCCTGGCGCGGGCTGTGGAGGTTGAGAGGAGGGGATGAGGCAGAGATGCAGGAGGGTTTGGAAGAATGAGGGCAAGGACAGTGCCTGGGGTCTGGCTCTGTCCCTGTGTCGTGCCCCCCCACCCGCAGCCCCTAATGGTGAACCCCGGAATAGGATTTCCAGGAAACGCTGAGCTTGGTTGTCACATGGTGAGAATGTGAGGGACCTAGGGACAGCCTTGGGCCACATGCCAGAGTCACATACTACTTGGGCTTCAGGTCTGGAGATGGGAATCTGCCAATGTAGAAAGATTCATTGAACCATGGGCATGACAAGATTATCTAGAAAAATAGTATAGACTCAGGTAAGAGGATCTGGGAGAGAGTAAAGACAATCCCACGTGGAGGTTGATTAAAAGTGGAGTACCCTGAAATAGCAATAACGTGATCACGGTTTATATTTACTGGGTACTCTCTGTGTGCCAGCCTCTGTGCTCAGCATGAGCTCACTTAATCTCCAGAACAGCTGTAAAGGAATTATTGTCATTATTTTAGTGATAGCACACAGAAGCTTAAAGAGGTAAATCATTTGCCCACAGCCAAGTAGACACAGTTGAAAAGAGGTGAAACTGAGCCCATAGCTTCCCCCTACCCACCCAAGCAGAGGTCTTGACCTTGCAGTCTGTGGGCCAGACTCAGTCAATAAACATATTTTCTTTGGCCTCAACTTTATTGTTGAAAGTGTGAAATAAGTGGACAATCAATTCCATGTAAACATCCGGGATTCCAGCTTCTCTTGATAATAAAATCCCCCAAATTTGGCAACCTTGGACTTATGATCTCTGACAAAAAGCATCTGGATCCAATAGCCACTGTCTTTTTGGACAAGCCGTGATTCCTCAGTCTCTTCCAGGCCCTCTTCTCACACTGACGTGGCCTGCCAGGACCCTGTGGACATTCTTTAGTATTTTGTTTTCTTTTTGGGGGGAAAGTTTGCAAACGTCCACCGAATATTTAACATTCTGAACGCCCATTTCCCCTCACTCAGCTTCAACAGTCGTCAACATTTGGTCCAATGTTGTATCCCTTTGTTTCCTCTTTTTTTCTGGAGTGATTAAAATCCCAGCTGTCATGTTATTTTCCCATAAATATTCTCGTTTCTAACATAGGCCGTTTTCAGTTAGCAACATTGTCATTCTTTAATGTCATCTAATGCCCAACTCATATTCATATACAGACATACCTCAGGCTACTTCACATTTGCTTCTAGACCATGAGAGTAAAGCAAGTTTCAAACGTGTACACTGTACTGTAGTCTATTGCGCAATAGCATTATGTCGGAAGCAACAATGTACATACCTTAATTAAAAAATACTTGGTTGCTTACAAATGCTGACCATCATCTGAGCTTTCAGTGAGTGGTTAATCACTAATCACAGATGACCACCACAATGTAATAGTAAAAAGTTTGAAATATTGCAAGAATTGCCAAAATGTGACACAGAGACACAAAGTGAGTCCGTGCGTTTGGAATCATGGTGCCGATAGACTTGCTCAATGAGGGTTGCCACAAACTTCCAATATGTGAAAAAACGCAGTATCTGCGAAACACTATAAATAAAGCAAAGCGCCATAAAACGAGGTATGCCTGTATCCCAACTATTTCAGAAATGTGTCTTTCCCTGGGGGTGTTTGAATTTGGGTCCTCCGGCTGCCATTTTACTTTAAAGGAAAACGAGAAGGGCCAGTTGGCAGGGCAAGAGAAAAATCAGGAGAATGTGGTATCAAGGATGCTGAGAGAGAGATTGTAGAAGGTAAAAGTGGGAAGTATGTCCTGGATTTGCCAAAGATTTAGGGAAGACAGGACCAGGAAGAGAAAGAAACAGGAAGTAGAACTGTGAGAGGCAATAAAATTAATAGAAAGTCTTCGGTTGTGCTGCTCTGAGCACTTGACATGTATTGATTCATTCAATCCTCACCACAGCCCTGTGACATAGGGAGGGACAATGGTGATCTCCATCTTCCAGATGGCCTAGCCGAGGTCAGACTATTGTAAGGTTGCACAATAAGTAGCAGAGCCAGGATTCAAATGCAGGCAAGTGGCCATAGCTCCAGGGACTCCATCCAGGTTAGGCTGCATCTCTTGCAATGCCCATTGGCTATGCGTTGGGCTTAGACATGTCACAGTCAAATAAGCTGCACCTGGCAGGGTGGCATCAGCTTGTGCCTTCATTGGGGATCCACTCTGCTCCCTGAGTGGTGGCACATGGAGGGACTGCCATCACGGGGTGCGGGAGCCACCAGGCTTAGAAGCCCCACCTCCCGAAGAGAGGAGCTTTGCTTCCGGGGTCGTGGCAAGGGACATGCCCAGTCACAGAACACGAACACCCCAGGAAGCCCCAACACTGGTTTCCCACTGGATAGGGCATGTTTCCAGTTTTCCCAGTCCAGGGACAGTGGACCAGTCAGTGCTCACTGTTGCCTGGTAACACAGCTGAATTGTATCAGGTCTCTAGGCAAATAGAAAATTAACCTCCCTTTTCTGAAAAACCTTATTTCTCCACGGAGGAGAAAAGGTTTAATTAATCCTTTGTTCACATTCCATGTTGCAAAGTCAATAGGATATCCCTCCTATAGTGCTGGTGAGAATGTGAAGTGCTGCGGCCGCCATGGAAAAGTTGGGTGGCTCCTCAGTAAGTCACCGGGAGAGTTGCCATATGACCCAGCAAGTCCACTTTCACTTAGTTATGCCCAAAAGAAGTAAAGACAGGTGTTCCAGAAAAACTTGCACGCAAATATTCACAGCAGCACCAGTCATAATAGCTGAAAGTTGGAAACATCCCAAATGCCCATCAGCTAATGGATGGATAAATAAAATGTGGTAAATCTAGACAATGAAATGTCATATAGCATTGATCTGTGCTACAATGTTGATGAACCTCGAAAACACTGTGCGGGGATGAAAGAAACGAGTCCACTGTTGTAGGATTACATTTACATGAAATGTCCAGAAGGCAAATCCATAGAGACAGAAAGCAGATTAATGGTTGCTAGGATCGGGGAGGATAGAGAGAGTGCCTGCCTAATGGGTACGAATTTTCTTCTGGAGTGATGAAATGTTCTGGAATTAGAGAGTAGTCGTGGTTGCAACATTGTGAATGTACTAAGTGCCATGGGATTATACACGTTAAAATGGTGACTTCTGCATTATGTGTATTGAAAAGAATTTGTTGATGGGCTGCAGGGGGCACATGAACCCCTCCCAGACCCCTTTCCAAACCGTCTCCGCCTCCCCCAGGCCTGGCTGGACACCCAGGACCGGCAGTTGGGTCACTATGTAAATGGAAAGTGGTTAAAGCCAGAACACAGGAATTCAGTGGTTTGCCAGGATCCCATCACAGGTATGAGGTGTTGTCATTACGGGAGGGAGAGGCAGTTGAATCCCCAGCTGAACCTACCAGCGACACCCCGTTCTCTTTGCTCAAGGGCAGAGAGGAGCCAGTGGGGGGAGGAAGAGAGGATTTCTGGCTCCTCCTGGTAACAGTTTTCCTATTTATCAATTCCAATCCCTGTGGACACTTTTTGAAGTCAGTATCTACTAAAACCCCTTCCTAGCCGTGGGGAGGCAACCACAGCAGTGACTGTTCAGTAGATTCATCTGCATTTGTGATCAAACTCAGACCCAGCTTGGGGGCTCCAGAAAGCCTAGCCCCTCCAATTCTGACACAGACCCCCCCCCCCGGCTCCTCCCATCTGGATCCCTTCATCTCCCCAGGAGAGAACTTAGCCACTTGCCTCCAGGGACAGGCTGAAGATGTGATGACAGCCTCAGTGGCAGCCAAGACTGCATTCCACAACTGGAGCAGGCTCCCTGGAGCCTCCCGGGCCCAGTACCTGACCAGGTGATGGATCCCAAGGGGTGGGGAAGGCCTCGGAAACAGAGCATTTTTCCAATATCCCACTGAATTAATTGGCAGCTAAGGTTCATATGCCCAGCATGCCTTTGAGCCTTTAGCAGCTAAAAAACATCCATTCCCCACTGTTCACTAGGATAGTGAGCCTTAAGGCTCATTGGGGTTCCATTTCTCAGCAGTTTATTGGGGCTGATGCTGCCCAAAGACCCTTTTCCAGCATGCTCTTGGAGCATCTAGAGACAAAGATTCCATTTCCAAAAGTGCAGTTGAGAATAGAAATTAAACTTCAATTTCCCAACACCTTTAGGAGTTATGGGGTGGCCAAGATCTTTACACAGCATCCTTAGGGCTTCAGTGCTTCCGAGACACATTTCCCATAAATCTTTGGTGGTAAATAAATGGTAGGGATGCCCCAGGGATACGGAGATTGTAGTCCAGCTATATGGGCTGTGGTACAGGATTCAGGCCTAAGGGCAGTGGAAAATGACCCTTGCTTTCTCCACAGGCTGGCCAAAGTGATCCAGAAGCACCAGCGGCTGCTCTGGACGCTGGAGTCCCTGGTTACTGGGCGGGCCGTTCGAGAGGTTCGAGACAGGGATGTCTCCCTGGCCCAGCAGTTGCTCCAGTACTATGCAGTCCAGGCGCACACCCAGGAGGAGGCGCTGGCAGGCTGGGAGCCCATGGGTGAGGAGCAGGAGTCCAGCCAGGCCCCCTCCTCCTCTCTGCCTCCACAGTGCCTGTCTCAGTCCCTGTATTTGTTCTTGCAGGAGTAATTGGTCTCATCTTGCCACCCACATTCTCCTTCCTTGAGATGATGTGGAGGATTTGCCCCGCCCTGGCTGTGGGTAATTGATGGGGCTGGGGCTGAACTGTTAGGGCTGAGGGAGGAGGCAGCCGGAGGTGTGGGCCCCTGGGTCCTTGAGCTGCCTGCCTCCCCCCAGGCTGCACTGTGGTGGTCCTCGTGTCCCCGGCCTCCCCAACACCCCTCCTCCTGGCCCAGCTGGCAGGGGAGCTAGCCCCATTCCCAGGAATCCTCAATGTGGTCAGTTGCCCTGCCTCCCTGGGGCATGTCCTGGCCTTCCTGCCTGGAGTCCAGAAGGTGGCCTTCTGTGGAACTATCAAGGTATCTTCCAGGCTGGGAGGGGGATGGACATGGCTGGAGGGCCCAGAAGGTTGCTCCCTCGGCTGAACGTTGTGGGGGTCCTTCAGGAAGGACGTGACCTTCGGCAGAGCCTGGCGGGCAAGGGCGCTGAGCTGGGCCTGGCTCTTGGGGCCGAGTCACTACTGTTGCTGACGGAAGCAGCAGACATGGATTCGGCCGTGGAGGGTGTCGTGGATGCAGCCTGGTCCGACCGCAGCCCGGTGAGATCCATGTGCTCATGTCTCCCCATGTCCTGGAGGCTGAGCATGTATGTCTGCAGATCTTGGGGCCAATGTCCTCGTGCATTTTAATTTCCAGTTCTTTGCATCCCAAAACTATACCATCATGTGTGCAGGACTCCCCACCTCAAGTTTCTGAACCTCCACGTCCAACTCTCCTGGTTGTGCAGACAGGGGCCCATGTCTCTTGTTCTTTAGGACTCTCTTCGTTCTTCCAACTGTCCCTAGTTGTCCCACCTCTGTCTTCACTCTGAATCACCAACTTTCTCTCACTCCACATCCTGACTGGGAGACTTTGAGGCCTCAGTGGGTCTCCCAGGTCTTCAGCCACTGCTCCCTGACTCTCCTCTGATCTGCACAGGTACATCCCTGGATCTCAGCCCTCTGTCGGTGCCTGTACCTCCAATATGGGCGCCAAGTCTGCTCACCCTGGTACCCTCTTCCTAACAGGGTGGCATCAGGCTACTCATCCAGGAGTCAGTGTGGGATGAGACCATGAGGCGGCTGCAGGCACGGATGGAGCGGCTTCGGGGCGGCCGAGGGCTGGATGGGGCTGTGGACATGGGGGCCCGAGGGGCTGCCGCATATGACGTGGCCCGGCTCTACGTGCTCGAGGCCCAGAGCCAGGGCGCACAGGTGAGCCAGGGCACAGACTCCAGGGCGCCCGGGGAGCAGGGACCTGGAGACCTAACTGCTGGGTCTGGGAGGCCGGGGCTTGGGGGCCGGGGCCTCGGGGTCCTTGGGTAGGAGCACACTGGGAGTAGACTTCTAAATATACTTCTCCTCAGGTGTTCCAGGCTGGTGATGTGCCCTCAGACAGCCCATTCTTTCCCCCAACCTTGGTCTCTGACCTGCCGCCAGCCTCTCCATGTTCTCAGGAAGAGGTGAGCTCTTTAGCTTCCTGCAGATCCTAGCGCCTCTGCCCACCCTCCACCAGACATGGACAGCAGCCGTACACCTCAAGAGCCTCTGCGGTGACGATCTGGCCTGGTCTGGGGGCCCTGGCTGCTGTAACCTGATCCCCAGTAGACGTGGTAATGGAAGGTGGGGCCAGCCAGGCCTCCTGAGCTCCCTTGTCACCCCCCTACAGGTACCGTGGCCTCTGGTTGTGGCCTCCCCATTTCGCACAGCCACGGAGGCACTGACCATGGCCAACGGGACACCGCGAGGAGGCAGTGCCAGTGTGTGGAGTGAAAGATTGGGGCAGGCCCTGGAGCTGGCCTACGGGTCAGTCGGCACCCACTGGGGTGCGAGAGGCAGACTTGGGGTGGCCCATGCCTCTGCTCTTTCTCTCAGCCTTGAGGTCTCCCTGTCTCTGGGTCTCCCACCCCAACCTGACTTACCACCCCTACAACTTTCTGTTTTTCTCTACAATGTCTGCCTTTCCCCCGGCAGGCTCCAGATGGGCACAGTCTGGATCAATGCCCATGGCCTCAGAGACCCTGCAGTGCCCACAGGAGGCTGCAAGGAAAGTGGGTCTTCCTGGCACGGGGGCCTGGATGTGAGTGCACCCTGCCTCCATCACCACCCCTTCATCCACCTTGTGCCCAGCTTGCATCCACTTGACACTGTCCCTCTTGCAGGGTCTGTATGAGTACCTGCGGCCTTCAGGGACCCCTGACCGGATGATGTACCTTTCTGAGAGTCTGAGCTATGACACCTTTGGCCTTGCTGTCTCCCCAACCCTACCAGCTGGGCCTGAAAAGGGGCCCAGGTGAGCTGTTCCAGGCGCTGTGATTCCCAGAATCCCTGGGGGTATGGAAGGGGAGAAGGGACTTGTGGCAGGCTCCCCCAGGGACTGGAGGGCCATCATGAGGGATCCCCGAGTCCTACTGAGAATTGCATACTGGGTCTTGTAGCCTCACACCCTCCCCAGGCCTGATGAGAGGCTCAGTTCTTCCAAATGAAGATCTGTGCTCTCCTAGACTTGTGGGGACCGTAGTTTGGGGTCCCCAAGAGGCTCACTGGGTAGAGCGTGGGATCCGAGCAGACTGAGGCCCTAGGACCCCGCTTCGTGCCTCACCCTGCTCCAGCCCAGCACTCCCGTATGGGATCTTCGTTGGGGGCCGTTTCCAGGCTCCTGGGGCCCGGAGCTCCAGGCCTGTCCGGGATTCACAGGGCGATCTCTACGGCTATGTGGCTGAGGGGGGAGCCAAGGACATCCGAGGTGCTGTGGAGGCTGCTCACCAGGCTGCCCCTGGGTAAGGGGGTCACGTGGGAAAACCCAGGTGTCAAGGGCATCAGGGACGGTAGTTTGGGATCGCCAAGGGCAGATGGGATATGGGTCTGCACCCTCGGGGCTGGTGGGCTGTGGAGTCTGAGTTCCCTGGGCTGACAGGATATGGCGCTGGCCCCTCACTGCCCTCCCCAGATAGGCTCTGGGGCCTGGACCCCTAGTCTAGACACTGTGAACAGAGGAAGGGCACCTGGGAAGAACCAGGAGCAGGTGCCAACCCCCAGTGTGCGCTGCCGCCCCACAGCTGGGTGAGCCAGTCACCAGGGGCCCGGGCGGCCCTGCTGTGGGCTGTGGCGGCCGCACTGGAGCACCGGGAGTCCACCATGGCCTCGAGGCTGGAGAGGCTCGGCGTGCCGCTCAAGGCCGCCAAAGCAGAGGTGGAGCTGAGCGTGAGGCGGCTTCGGGCATGGGGGGCCCGCGCCCAGGCCCAAGGTCACACACTGCAGGTGAGAGGGGCCTGTGGGTAGGCAGAGGGTGGGCTGTCTGGAGTGGGGGTTAAAGCAAAGACTCTGGAGTGAGCCAGACTTGGGGTCCAGTCGCAGCTCCACTGCCCGCTGGCTACATGATCACCAGCCAGTGCCTCCTCTCTGCACCTCGATTTCCTCATCTGAGTCATGGGCCTACAGCCCACCTCATAGAATAGTATTTCAGATTGTTGTTAGTGACCCATTACGGGGCCATAAAATCAATTCTGTGAGTCCTGGCCATTTTTATTATTTTTTTTTTATAGTGAGAGAATAGGAGAGAAAACTGTGTTGCACAGAGTATTGCTTAGTGTGACTTATTTTGCGTTGATACACATAATATGCAGCCAAATAGTAGCATTATTTGTAGTAGCCAAAAATGGGAAGCAATCCAAATGTCCCTCAGTAGGTTAATGGATAAACAAAATGGGGTATATGCATGCAGTGGAATCCTGCTCAGCAGTCATAGTAAGTGTGCTACAACACGGGTGAATCTCAAAACTTCTGCATGAAAGCACCTAGATAAAAAGGCGTGCAGCCTGTATGATTCCATATCTAGGACATTCTAGAAAACACAGTGAGAGAAAGCAGATCAGCGGTTATCTAAGGACAGGAGGTTCAAACAGGGGGAGGACAGAAGGACCCCAAAGGGACACGAGGAAATCTGGGGGATGAAGTGCATTACCTTGATTGTGGTGATGGTTTCAAGGGTGTATATCCCCATGTGTGAAAACTTGTCATATTGTACCCTTTAAAATGTGTGCAGTTTAGTGAATGTCAGTTATATTCAGTAAAGTTTAAAAATAAAAACGCATACAAGCAAACCTATGGGCCAGGTTCTGTACCCTCTACAGACATTAACTAATTTCATGTTAACAACAAATGTCTGAGGTAAACACTATTATTGTCCTCATTTAAAAGATGGGAAACTGAGGCCCAGGGAGGTTAAGTGACTCACTCAAGGTCACACAGCTGGTGAGTGTGGGAGCTGGGACTTGAACCCACCAAGCAGTCTAGCTCCAGAGTTGGCTCTGAACCATCACCTGGTTATATTATTATTATTGAGATTCTAGAGAAGAGAAGGTGGGGTTGAGAGGAGGACAGGGGTGGGCTTCCCGTCCCACTATTGACTCTTGGCTGTCCCTTTAGGTAGCAGAGCTGAGAGGCCCTGTGCTGCGGCTACGGGAGCCACTGGGTGTGCTGGCTATCGTGTGCCCAGACGAGTGGCCCTTGCTGGCCTTCGTGTCCCTGCTGGCCCCTGCCCTGGCCTACGGCAACTCTGTGGTCTTGGTGCCCAGCAGGGCCTGTCCCATCCCCGCCTTGGAGGTCTGCCAGGTACAGTTGCAGGCTCTGCTGCCTGCCTGCTGCGGCTCCCAGCAGCCCCTGGGGCAGCAAATGAATGAAAGATGTCCCAAGGCCTACAGGGAGCTCAGCTCCCACCCCACCCTTTTGGAACCATGATAACCTCATTCCCAACATCCCACATCCTCTAGACACAGCGACCACTGTCTCCAGGCCTCAAGCCCTCATCAATCATGACCCTAGCCTCATTCCCTCTGGGAGCCCCCCGCGGGGACCCCCCCAGTGCTCATACCCCACTGCCCTCGGGGTCTCTGACGCCCTTCCCTCCTAACCCTGGGTGGCCCACTCTCCCATCCCCTAGGAGATGGCCACCTTGTTGCCAGCGGGCCTGGTGAATGTGGTGACAGGAGACCGCGATCACCTGACCCGCTGCCTGGCCTTGCACCAGGACATCCAAGCCATGTGGTATTTCGGATCTGCCCAGGTACCATTTGTTTTTCCATCCTCAGCCTCACCTAGTCTCTTCTTTTTCTGGGAACGTGGTAGTGCCCCTTAAAACTTCCACTGCTAAGGGAGAGAAACTTCTTGGCAGCCAGATTCTGAGGTCCTGCCCCTTTACAGACCTGTTGCTAAGGGAGAGGGTCTCCTTAGCAAGGGCCTGAGATCTCCCCCAGCCCAAAGACCTCATCTCACTGGACACCCCGTTGCTAAGGCCCACACGCTAGCAACAGAGTACAGAGGCCCACATCCGCCCTCGGACCCCCCAGTGGTAACAGATGGGAACTCCTTGTCTAGCAGAGCTGCCTCAGGCCCCATTCCTTCAAACGTGGGCTGTTAACGGGAGGAAATTCCCTGGCCACAAAGGTCAACCTTGTTTCCCACAGCATCTGGAAGATTTGCTTGCTACGAGCTGAGCATTATAGCAGCAGAGCATAGGTCAAGCCTCAGGCCATCCTCAGTAACAGTTCCTTTTGCCAAGGAAGCAGCTGTTGAGCAACTAAGCTGATATAAGTGCTGACCCCCTTTCCCCATGACAGGGCTCCCAGTTTGTGGAGTGGGCCTCTGCAGGAAACCTGAAGCCGGTGTGGGTGAGCAGGGGCTGCCCTCGGGCCTGGGATCAGGAGGCCGAGGGGGCAGGCCCAGAGCTGGGGCTGCGGGCAGCACGAACCAAGGCCCTGTGGCTGCCCATGGGGGACTGATATCTAAGCACCGCCCACAGAGGAGACATGGACCCCAAAGGCACCAGGCACCTGAAGCTTTCCTTTCATTACTGTTCCATTGCCCTCCAATAAACTCTCAGCAACCTTGACTTGCTTCTGAGGGGAGGTTGGAAGGGAACAGCAACTTTGGGTCTATTTGAGTCTGTTCGGGTTCTGAGACTCAGCAGCTGTGTGGGCTGGCTCCGATAAAACAGTGTTTGTGGGACAGATAAAGGGAACTCAGAAGCCTGGACAGGGCCTTGGGGCCCCTGGTCTCTTCTGGTTTCCATCCTGAGCTCCTGCCCTCTGACTTCCCCTGTCCACATACTGCCTCAGCGTCCGTGATGTGCTGGTGTAAAGTTCTCTGGAATAAAAGTAGAGCCCTGGTAAGGAACTTTTACCAATTTCCGTGGTGTAAATGCTCCCACAGTGTCAAGATTTCAAGCTCTAGATGATTGAACTGGCTGAATTCCTGAATTTTTAACAGCTCCCATGAGCCAGTCTGAGTCATTCCTTCATACCACTGTTTTAAATTTTGTATATAAGGAACTTGTGCTAGCTTAGGATAAACGGGAATTTTCTGGAAAGCTACAGGAATACCTTATAGGAGACAGGGCAAGACACGCATCCAGGTGTCCCAAGTCCTGAGAAGCCAGATGCGGACAGGAGCCAGGGCAGGTGCCTTTTCCATGGGCCACGTGACCTCCGTGTCTCTCTGCCTGTCTGCTGCTTTCAAATCATTCCAACTGTTGGGCGAGCATTGTGTATTTTCCTCAGTCCTTGTCCTCCCCGCAACAAAGAATTAAAGGGCAGAGACACAGTAGTGAAACAGAGTAAAAGTTTTATTTAAAGTTACTTAAAGAGAGAAAAAGTACAGGCCACCTTAGCAAGGAGAGGCACCCTGAAAGGTTGGAGAGAAAGTTTAAAGTTAAAAGGTTACGCACTTTGAAAGTGTGGGCGACCTCAGAGAGAGGAGTGCCCTGAAAGGTTGGGGGCTCCCCCNACAGAATGTGCTCAGTGTGTGTTAGCTGTTAAGAGGTTGATTTTGCCCTGGGGCAAACAAGAATGGGCAACCCCCTGTCCGGATTTGCCTGAGGCTGGGCAGAATAGGAGACCTCTCCCAGGATCCCACAGGAACGGGAGAGTTGGAGGGAAACCCCTGGGAGACTCCAGCTCCTGTCTGTGGTTTGACAGCTCCCTCCCAGATTCAGTGGCCTGCCTCAGTGTCCCTCCTATTAATCCTGTTGCTTTAACCTGCCAAAGTCAACTGTGGCAGATCCTTGTACCCCCAGACAGCTCTCAGAAGCAGGTCTCAGGAGAGGAAATCTGACTGGCCAGCTTGGGCAAGGTGTCCACATCTAGGCCAATCGTCTGGCCGGGGCAGGAGCTCCTAGTCCCTGCAGCCATCCAGTCTGTCAGCAAATAGCTACAGAGCACGTACCAGGGGCGAGACACTGTTCCAGGCACGGAGGACACAGCCTTGAACAAGCCAGACCCTGGCTTCACGGGGCTCCTGTTCTAATGGGTGACGGGGTGCTCGTTTCCTATCGCTGCTGTGACAAATGACTGCAAAATTAGTGGCTTAAGTAAAACAACATAAATGTACTCTTTAAAAGCTCTGGAGGTCTGGGCCTTACTGATCTAAAATCAAGGTGTGGGCAGGGCTGCCTTCCTCTCTGGGGCTCAGATCCGTTTCTGGCCTTTTCCAGCTCCTGAAGGGCACCCCCACTCCTTGGCCCGTGGCCCCTTCCTCCGGTTTCAAAGCCAGCCACCATCGCCTGAGTTTTCCTCACGTGCACCACTCCGACTGCTCCTCGGGCACATCTCTGATGCCGGCCCTCCTGCTTCCCTTTCACTGTAGCTCTGATTCCCACCCTTTCAACACCAATAGCAATGGTGTATTTTTTCCCTCCATGCATGTATAACTGATGCCAGGGTTCTTGTTCACAAAGCCGAAGAATGAGCTTCACAAACACTCAAGGTAGGAGAGCCAGGGAGAGGCTTTTAGAGATACAGTGAGAGGACAGAGCTCCTGGTTCACGCCAGGACAGTCTAGGGGTTTTATTGGCAGTTGAGGATTTTTGAGAACATGAAAAAAGGCTTAGGGGTGTGGACTTGTCAAGCAGTCTTTGAATGTTTAGAATTGACTTAACACAAGGAACTTCCTGCTCTAATGATTCCTCCCTGAGATACCAGCACCTTGGTCAGGGGGCATATGAAACAAGGCCCCCAAGGTGGGCTGAGGTATTGTTTGCTAAAGAATAAGTTAAGAATTTCTAACTTCTTAACTTCTTGGGTATTAAAATGCAATCTTATCTTTAAGGTGGAATCTTTCTTGCCTTATACTATGTTGTTTATGCCTGGGCTTACTTGCTAAATTAGTTGCCCAGTTTGCAAAACCAGCTCAACAGATCTGAAGGAGAAAGACAGCACATAGGCCTGGGCCTTTAGCATGCTGAAGTGAATCTTAGCACATGATTACAAATGATCAGCATAATAAAAATGTGCTGTTCTTTATCTGGAGAACATTAACTGATCTCACTGAAGAACGACTCTAGAGCTTAATGTTTAACACAAGAGTTTTGGTAGGGGGTTTCCTTGCATGTAGTTTCATTACTCTGGCTGCAAATATCCTGCCTTGCTTTTCCGGAGGCCCTCACCCTACTCTGACTACATCCACAGTCCCGATCTCATAACTAACAATATTATACCCAGCAGTAATAGTAGTATAACTTCATTCAGGTACCTGGACCCGATTCCAATGTGTGTAAATGTGTGGGAGGGGTTCTTCCAATACGTACTGAAACCAAGCAATTATTGAACATCAGCAGGGTGTCTGAGAACTCAATTCTCATGCTATCTGCCCCGAGACAGCACCAGGCCCACCAAGTTAAGGACTCCGTCCTACAGGACTGCCCTCCACCCCCCACTCAAGACACCGGTCGCAAGCCCCAGGCAGTTACCTGTGCCTCTGACCTACAGGCTACAGACTAGAGGTTCCCACGACCTCCCCCTTAGGTCTGATTAATTTGCTAGAGCGGCTCACAGAGCTCAGGGAAACACATTCACCAGTTTAATAAAGGAGACAAGTTAACAGCCAGATGAAGAGAGACACACACAGGCCAAGGTCCCAGATACAGGAGCTTCTGTCCTCGTGGAGCTTGGGGCCCGGCTCGGTGGCACATGGAGGCGGGTCTGGTTCCCCAAGCATGGAAGCTCTCCCTGACCAAGAAGCAGGATCCGACAGGGCAGAGCAGGTACAGGAGAGAAGACAGAGAAGCTCTTCTTGGATTTTTGTGAGGCTTCATGGCATAGTCACAATTGACTAAATTATTGGCCATTGGCTGATTCAGCTTCCAGCCCCCACCCTTGGGTGGGGTCCAAAAGTCTCTCATTAACATGACGAAACACCTGTGTCACATTGAAGACTGCAGTGTTTTTAAGACTTCAGGAGCTGTAGCTGAAGACCAAATGTACCTGGGAAATACGTGTCTGGTCATATGAGTGACCAGATAGATCTTTCTTATAACTCATTGTATCACAAGGATCCTTGTAATTACATTGGGCCCCCCAAAATAAGCTATGACAGCCTCCACATCTCAAGATAATTAATCATATGTGCAAAGCCCTTTTTGCCCTGTGAGGTGACATATTCAGAGGTCCAGAGAGTTGTACCTGTACATCTCTGAGGACTATTACTCTGCCTGCTGCAACCAGAGACAGAAAATAAGTGAATACTCAAGAAACGTCTGTTGAACGTGCTGAGGAAGCTAAGCCAGGCTGGACAGGAAGTGAGGCGAAGGGGTGCCGCAGTCTCCCCAGAGGAGGGGCCATCTCACCAAGTTGTTTTTTCTCCCAGCCTTACTGAGGTAGGATTGACAGGGAAGCACAAAAAGAGATTGTATATATTTCAGTTGAGTGATTTTTTTAGGGTGTACAACGTGATTTCTATACATACAATGGTGAAATCGTTACCCCAGTCAAGTTACTTAATACCCATCACTTTGCAGTTACCTTTTTGTGTGTGTGCTGAGAACACTTAAGATCTGCTCTCTTCGCTCAGTAAAATGGGGGTTGGGGGGAAATTCCAGCATATCTGAAAGCAAAGATAACAAAAAGCCCCCAAAGCCGTCTACTACCACATAGTTCATGTCTTGCCCATGCTACTGTCCACCAAGGATTGGCAGGGGGCCTCAAGTTCCCCACCCCCACTGCCACCCCATTTGCGGTCACAGTCCAGCAGCAAAGTAAGATGCTACAGAGTCACTACATGTCTTCTCGGTTCTATACCACCTTCATGGTGACCCCCTCGTTATGTGTGCTACTTATAATGCCCCTTAATCCCTTTTCCCTCCCTCCCCACTCGCCCTCTCCACTCCTCCCCTTTGCTAACCACTAGTCCCTTCTTGGAGTCTGTGAGTCTGCTGCTATTTTGTTCCTTCAGTTTTGTTTGTTGTTATACTCCACAAAGTACTGAAATCATTTGATACTTGTCTTTCTCCACCTGGCTTATTTTACTGAACATAATACCCTCTAGCTCCAACCATGTCGTTGCAAATGAATTTCCTTCTTTTTTGAGGCTGAATGATATTCCAGTGTGTGCGCATGTGTGTGTGTGTGTGTGTGTGTGCCTGTACGTGTGTGTGCGCGCACACCACATTTTCTCGATCCATTCATCTGTCTACAGACACTTGGGCTGCTTCCATATCTTGGCTACTGTGACTAATGCTACAGTGAACCCACGACTACAGATAACTCTTTTGAGAGGCTGAATTCACTTTAGGTAAATATCCAGGAGGGAATTGCTGAATGATGGTTTTATTTTTTGTGTTTGAGGACCCTCCACGTCATTGGCCATAGTCCGTAACAATTTGTTATCTCCTGTCTTTTTGATAACAGCCATCCTCACAGCTGTGAGGTGACACCTCACTGTGGTTCTGATTTACATTACCCTGACGATTAGCCATTGCAGTGCATCTCTAAGGACCATGAGGACTGATTAGGGCAGAAAAGTAGTATAGCAGCAGAGCATCATCACAGGTGGCGGGCATAGCATGTGCAAAGGCCTACTGGGAACCTCCTTGGACACCTCCAGTGGGTTAAATGGTGGCCCTGAAAAATGTATGACCACATCCTCACCTCTGGATCCTACGAATGAGACCTTCTTTGGTAAAAGAGATGTAATTTTTTTTCTGCAGATGTATTTAAGGATCTCAAGATCAATCATCTTGGGTTATCTGAGCAGGCCCTGCATCTAACGACAAGTATTCTTAAGACAGAAGAGAAGACAGTGAGAAGAAGAGAATGCCACACAAAGACGGACACCAAGACTGAACTCAATTTCTAGTCCCCCCACCCCCACATGCTTCCCCAGAGATGGGAGGTGGGAGGTGGGCAAATTTGGCTGACATTCTGCATTTCAAAGCCTAAAATCACATGGTTGGTCTTTCTGGCCTGACCAGCCCAGTCCTGAGTCACCTCATTAGCATAAATTCAAGTGTGGTCAGGGGCCCCCTCTGAATAACAAAGACACCCTTATCCCTTTTCAGGGAAATCCTAAGGACTAAGAGGTTGTCTCCCTGGATGCTGAGGGACAAAGGCCAGCGGAGTTCTCTATTACACAGCGATAAAGAAGAAGAAAAGAGGCCAAAACCCCTTTGCCATCCATTTAACAAATACTGATTGAGCATCTGCTAAGGGCCAGGCACAGCTCAAGGTGCTGGGTAAACAGACGCCCACCACGGTCCTTCTGGAGCCGTTATCCCAGTGGGGTAACTGACGAGAAGATAAGTAACTTGCAATGGTGTATCAGAGGTTATAAGTGACAAAGGAGAGAGCAAAGCAGGAATGAGTGGGAGCTGGGAGGGGTGCAATTTGTAAAATGTGGCCGGGAAGGCTTTACCTTGTGTGTTTGAGCAAAGACCTGAATGAGATGGGGTGGGCCATGTGGGTTCCTGGGGGAAGGGCATTCCAAGCTGAGGAACAGCCAGTGCAAAGGCCCTGGGTCAGCAGTGTGGAGGAGGCCAGTGTGACTGAACTGGAGAGGGGCGGGAGTGAGGGCATACAGGGGACAGGGCCAGATCCTGTAGGACCATGTGGGACACAGTGAGGACTTGTACTTTTAAGCTGAGTGTGGCAGGAGCCAGGGGAGGGTTTGGAGAAGAGGAGAAACTTGTTTTGACTTAGGTCTTTAAAGGTTCTGGCTGGCTGCACATGGGGAACAGCCTGTGGTGGGGTGAGGGTTGAACCAAGGTGCCAGGTGAGCAGGTGGCAGTGATATTCAAGTGGGAGATGGTGGCAGGCCCAGGTAATGGCAGCGAGCATGATGAGAAGTAGTCGGATTCTGGATGCATTTGGATGGTCAGCCAACAAGTTTGCTGACTGCCTGGACTGTCGGGGCAGTGAGAGGCAGAGGTCACAAGTCCATTCCAAGGCTTTGGGCTGGAGCAACCAGAGGGATGGAGCTGCTGCACACCTTCATGCAGAAGGAGGGAGAGTTTCCCGAAATGAAGATGAAGGGTTCAGGGTGAGATCCCTTTGCCATCCATTTAACAAATACTTTACCTGTTCAATTGGCCCCAGCTGCCCATCCACTGTGTCCCACGCGGGATCGGGGGTGGTAACCAACCCAACCTCAGCCCTCCCGGGGCTTGAGTCCAGCTGAGGCGCCCCTGGTGGCGTGAGCCTCCACCTTTCACCACCAGGTGGCGCCTCTTGGATCAGCCAGATCCACCGCCAGCTGTCTCCCCAAAAAATTTCCTTTCACTTTCGATATCTGGCTGTCACCCGGCCTGCCCCTTCCACACCCAGCTGGGGCAAGCCTTGTGCGTGTGGAGAAATGGGCAACGGGTCCCCAAGGGGCGGGGCCGGGATCCCCCTCCTAGGACTAAGGGAGGAGGGATGGGGGTCGGGTTCCTGGGTCCCTGGCCTGGGGAGGGTTCCGGGGACTGGACGTCGGGGTTCTTGAAAGGGGAGATGAAGAGTTTTCACTGTAACTGGGGCTCACGCAGGAAGCCCAAGTGAGTAGGAGGCGGAAACTTAGCCACATCCAGGGGCCGAGGGAGGGGCGCGGAGGTGAAGGGGCGGGCGAGGGAGGGGCTGGGGTGTGGGGATCCGAGACTCGGTCTTCTGTCCCTTCCAAGATCCGGCCACAGGCATGAGGGGTCTCAGTCCGAGATGACAGTGCTGGCGCCAGCCTGGAGCCCAACTGTGCGTATACCTGGGGCACAAGGTGGAGGAAAGGTAGAGAAGTGTGGTGATAGGCAGAGCGGAGAGGGGAGATGGGCGGGTGGGAGAGGAAGACAGGGTGGACAGGGATGGGGGCGACGGGCAGGGGTGAGCGGAACCTGAGAGGGATGGGCGGAGTTGGAAAGTTGGAGAGAATGGGAGAGAGGAGCTGAACCCTAGGCAGCATGGAACAAGAGGCAGAGAGAAAAATAGGGGAAAAGATCAGAGAAGGGCACCCGAGAACCAGACAGAGGAGAGGCGGGAACTGGAAGAGGGCCTGTCCTGGGAAAGGGGCGGGGGGTGCGGAGAGCCCAGGTGAGGGGGCGGAGCCAATGCCGGGCTGCCCCGCCCCTCCCGCAGACCTCCCTGTTCCTGCTCCTGTTGCTGAGCCCCGGCCTCCGCGGGACCCCCGACTGCTCCTTCACCCACAGCCCCATCTCCTCCACCTTCACAGGCACCATCCGCAAACTGGTGAGGGCCCGGTGCCAGCCGCTCCCGCGCTCCTTTCTGAGGCTGACGTTCTGTCTGATTGTCCCGTGTTTAGGTCCCCCTCTCTCTGGGTCCCTGTCCCCCTCCCTCTCCCTGGGTCTCTCTAGTTCTGTTTCCTCCTGTCTTCATCAGGGCCTGACCCCCTGACCCTGTTTTCTCTCGCAGGCTGACTACCTGCTTCAAGATTACCCAGTCACTGTGGCCTCCAACCTGCAGGACGTGAGTCACCGAGGGGTTTGGGGTGGAGGTGGGGAAAGAGGCTCCAGGTGCAGCGCCCTTCAGGGGACCAGGCTAGTTTGCTGACACAGCCTCCGCCTCCCCTGGGACCCAGGAGCCCCAGCCCGCAGCCCGGCTGCCCACAGGACCCAGAGCTGGAGCTGTCTCTCCCCAGGACGAGCTCTGCAGGCCGATCTGGCACCTTGTCTTGGCCCAGCGCTGGATGGGACGCCTCAAGACTGTGGCAGGGTCCCAGATTCAGGACCTACTAGAGGCTGTCAACACCGAGATACTCTTTGTCACCTTATGTGCCTTCCAGGTCAGCCCTGAACTTGGGGCGCAAGTGAGGGAAGCCAGATGCTTCCCTAGGGATTGTAAGCAAAGCTCTGCCAGGCCTTATTGGAGCTTTTTTTTGACCATAGCAATCCAAGGGAGGTGGAGCTGGAAGCCCAGTCCCACTGGGGACCCCATTGCTGGGAATCACTGCTCTGGGCACACTGGTGAGGGGTCTGGGCCCGATGCGGCAATTCTGGATTTGTTTTCCAGGCCCTGTTGCAGGGCCTTGCTGGGCAGGGGAGGCCCTTGGCCTGAGGAGATGCCCCGGCTATGCGATGGTGACATCTCCCTCCCCTGCCTCCAGCCCCTCCCCAGCTGTCTCCGCTTCGTCCAGACCAACATCTCCCACCTCCTGCAGGACACCTCGGAGCAGCTGCTGGCCTTGAAGCCCTGGATCACCCGCAGGAATTTCTCCCAGTGCCTGGAGCTGCAGTGTCAGCCGGGTAAAGGCTCCCAGTGACCCCAGCCCACTGCCTCACCCCACCCCTGCAGCCCCTCACCCGCCCTGCTCAGGCCAGCCCAGACCCCCACCGTGCTCCCATTGGCTGTGTGACTTTGGGCATGTTCCCCCAAGCTCATTTCCTTATCTGGGCCTCAGTTTACCCATCTCTGAGAAGGGAACCATGAGGCAGCCCCTGCTGATAAGTAGAATGAGAGCCACATGTTTAAGTATGAATTTCCTAGTAGCCAAGTTTTAAAAAGTTTCTTTTTTTAAGTGAATGCTTTATCTCAGGAATGTTAATGTTCGTTATTTTTTTAGCAAGTTATTGGTTGTTTTAGCTTTAAAATGTTTGTTTTGGAATAATTGTAGATTCAAAGGAAAGTGCAAAGAAACGTACAGGGAGTTCCAGGACGCCCTTCACCCAACGCGCCCAGGGTTACATTTTGCTTGTCAAAGCATTACTTACAGCACAATATCCAAGCCAGGAAATTACCATGGGTACCGTCCTCAGAGTTTGTTCAGATCTTACCAGTTACACATGCATGCGCGTGTGTGTGTGTCTATTTGTTTCCTAGGATTACTGTAACAAACACCACAAACTGGGTGATTTAAACAGAAGTGTATTGTCTCACACTTCCGGAGGCCAGAAGTCTGAAGTCAAGGTGTCAGCAGGATCAGCTCCCCAGGCCTGAGAGGGAGGCTCTCTTTGGTCTCTCTCCTTGGCTTGTCAATGGCCGCTTCTTGTCGCTTCTCTCTATGCATATCTCTGTGTCCACATTTCCCCTGTTTATGATGACACCAGTCGTATTGATGAGGGCCTACCATAGTGACTGCATTTTAACGTATTTATCATTTTAAAGATCATGTCTCCAGATCAGGTCACCTTCTGTGGTTCTGGGGGGTCAGGACTTCAACCTATGCATTTTGAGGTACACAATTCAATCCATAATTGAACTGTGTGTATAGTTTTATTACACGTGTAGCTTATAAATCGCCACCCAATAAAGATACTTAATTTGACTTCCTCCTAACAACTCCCATCCCTAACTCCCAGCAGCCACTAGTCTATTCTCTATAATGATGTTATTGAATGCAATTTCAATACTTTTATAATTATTTTCATAAGGAATCATTTAAATCACAAATTTTGTTTAATTCTGTACTCCAAAATAGTACCATTGCAACACATAGTCAATATTTTAAAAAACTACTTAATGAGATCTTTCGCATCCCTTTTTCCCTACTAAGAAGCCAGTGTGGTTTTTACACTGACAGCACATTTCAGTTCAGACGTCACTGCATGTCACATGTCTGATAGTCCCATGAGTCAATAGCTACTGTGTGGGACTGGCTACCACTGAGTTTTCCAAATGAAATAACTTCTTTAGAATACAGCGAGAGGCTATACTCTGCAAACTCGACTTTTTCAGTTTATTAAGGTTTTCTCTGTGACCCAGGAAATAATGACTTTTGTAACTGAACGTTGTCTTAGGAAAAGAATTGATTATTTTTCAGGTAGCATCAGAGCAAATCTAATATATTCTGTCTCGCTTGTCATATTTAGCATCTCTCTGTCCTTGGTATATTTGTCTACTAAAACCATTAAGTCCTGAGGTAGATAATTTGAAAACCTCCAGTCTAAAATTATACCTTTCTTAATTTCTCCCTGCATTCCCATTGTATCATTTATGTTTAGCTTCATTTGTCACCCGAATTTATGTTTATGACTATTCATTCAACTACCTTTTATTAACTATCTCCTTGGTGCCTGGCACTGGGTGCACAACACAGAAGACCAAGTCCATGGACATGTGGGGCTGACATGTCAGTTGGGGAGACGAGAAGCATGTAAACAAGGCAGGAAAATGTCTGTGTAACAGGCCCTATGCAGACAAATTAAACAGGGTGTTGGAACTGTGGTCTGAGGTGGTTGGCTGGAAGAAGGGAACAGCCAGCACAAAGGCCCTGAGACAGAAACCCGCCTGACTGTTTAAACAGCAGCGAGGAGACCCCTATGGCTGAAGCCAGTCAAGAGAGCAAGGGGGAGAAAGTTGGGGGTGAGGGTTCAGAGGGAACGAAGGGGGCCAGGATGTGTGTGGGGCCTGTGGGTCATATTGACTTACTATCTATCCACTCATTCAGATATTTAATTTAGGTAAATTAAACTATTGTAATGTTACTAAATGAGCCTTGTAGGCCTTGTCCTCAGAACCTAGTAGGTTCTGACAAGACAGATAAGGCTCCTCTTGCCCACATGAAACTCCAGAAGAGAGGTGCAGGGGAGAAGAATGAACAAACTGATACATAAGCACCAGAAACGTGTCCAATTAACATAAAATGTTGCCAGGTAGTGTTCTAAACACTTAACTACACATCAAGTCATTTGATTTTTGTGTAACCCTATGAGGTAGGTAATGATTATGCTATGGTGATTATACCCATTTTACAGACAAGGAGAATGAGGCACAGGGGAGCGACCCGCCAGGATCACAGCCAGCGTCAGGCAAGCCTGCCTGCCTTTCCTTGGCCCAGCCCTTCTCCCAGTCACCCAGCGTCCTGTCTCTGCAGACTCCACCACCCTGCTGCCCCCAAGGAGTCCTGGAGCCTTGGAGGCCACCGTCCTGCCGGCCCCTCAGGCCCCCCTCCTCCTCCTGTTCCTGCTGCTGCCCGGGGCCCTCCTGCTCTCGGCTGCTGCCTGGTGCCTGCACTGGCGACGGAGGCGGCAGAGGATGCCCCACCCCGGGGAGCAGGTGAGCCAGCAGGGTGGGGCTGCGGGGGTGGCTGCACTTGCCCAGCATTGCTTATCTACTGGGTGCGTAGGGGCCCCACAGCTCCAGTCCTCAGGACGTGCTGCCCCTGGAGCCTGGCTTGTCTTGGGAAGTCCTTCACCAACAGGAGGCCCCTGGGCTTTGTGTATTGTGGGGTGGCGGGGAGCCATGGGAGGGCTGGGAGCAGGGGAAGGGCAGGTCAGCTCTGGATGCCGGAAGACCCCTCTGGGCCCACGACTGGGACAGACTGGAAGAGAGACTGGAGGCCACAGAGGAGGCTGCATAAGGGTCCAGGGAGAGAACAAGGCCTGAGCCAGGGCTGGGACCAGGACTATAGGGACAGAAGAGGACCGGTCAAGAATGGGGGAGCAGGGCTGGAGACTTACTGGCTTGGGGCAGGAGGTCGCACAGACCACCCCAGGTCTGATCCAGTGAGGAACCTGGAGGAGGGAGCCAGGGAAAGCCTGAGGGCCCAGCGAGGACCTGCAGGCAGGGGGGCCCTGGGGGAGATGTTTGGATGCAGGAGTCTGCAGGTCAGGAGCTAGTGGCCTAGAGCAGGCAGAGGGGACCTTTGTGCAAAGCCCTCCAGGTGTGAAAAAGCTCAGGGTGCTCAGCCAGTCTGGAGCAAGTGTGGATGAGGGGTTGAAAAATGCTGAAGGAAAATCTAGGCCTCAAACACCAGGTAAGAGAGCTGTGCCTCCAATGCCTAGGCTGCATGGAGCTGTGGGAGACGTGTGATGCTGGAGAAAACCTGTGACTAGGTGTGGGAGTGGGAGGCAGGTGGGCCAGGAGGGAGAGAGGAGGCCCCAGAGGGATCTAAGGAGAGACTTTTTACAGTGATTGTGATCGTTCACACATACGGTGCCTCAGTGACACAGACCCTGTGGTGGAGCTTTCTACTTATTAACTCATTTAGGTGCCATGTCACAGAGGCCGAAACCAAGGCACAGAGAGGTAATAATTCACCACAAGTCACACAGCTTGTGAGTGACAGAGCCAAGATTTGATTCTGCTTTCTGGTTTGGCATCCATGCCTTTCACTCTTCTTCCTCAGTTTCCTTAAACATACAAAAGATTCTATAATAGTCCTTCTACAACAGAGTTGTCTACCATAGGGGTTAAGTGACGTGACACCCACAAGGCCTTTAGAGCACCTCTAACAGAACACAAGCCACACATGTGACTTTAAACTTTCTAGCAGCTCCGTTTTTTTTTAAGAAACAAGTAACTTTAAAAATATATTTCATTTCACTCTGTGTATCTAAAATGTCATCTTAACACATAATCAGCATTTTAAAAGGTGGCTAATAAGACATTTTACATTCTCTTTTGCATACCAAGTCTATAGAATCCAGCATGTATGCTACACTAGACCACATCTCGATTCAGAAGCTCAATTTTTGTCAGAATAGTTTATCTGTATTTAGAGGCCTTGTTTCTGTCCACCACGTTTTCTCCCAGTAACCACACTATGAAGTTAAAATTAGGTAAAATTAAAAACACAGCTTCACTATAAAACAGACCACATTAGGGGCACTCAATATTCACAGGAGGCCTGTATCGTCGCTGTAGTGGTATTAGCACAGATCTAAACATTTCCATCATTGCAGAGCTCTTGTGGACAGCCAGCGATGCCCTTAACACATAGTGCTGGCTGCGAACGGAATTGTTTCCAGCAGTGAGTCCATGCAGAGCCCTGAGCTTGGTGCTTTGCTGTCCTCTGTCCATGTCTCCTCAAAACAGCCCAGTGAGACAGAAATATCTGTCATCCCATTTTACAGAGGACGACACTGAGGCCCAGAGGGAGGAGTCACCTGCCACAGGACACACAGCCGGGATTTGGAGGAAGTCAGCTAGAGACTGGTCCCTTCCTTAGTCCTGCTGTGCCCCTCACACTCTCCTCAGGATGGAGGCAAGGCCAGCAACCAGCACCAGCCCCACCTGCCCCCCTCTGTACGAATCCCTTGTCCCCAGGAAATTGTATATAAATCACTTTTCTACCAGCTCTGGCCAGGCCTGTCTGTGAATAGGGCAGTGTGGATTTGAGTTTCGGTGTTCCAGTTAATATGTTTCATCCGATACCTGTTTTCTGAGGCCTCCTGGGGCCCACGGCCCATGCAGAGCAATTTTGGACCCAGATGTGAATCAGAAGTGACCCAGCGCCCCTGATCTATCGGTAAGACAAGAGACCAGAGGGCTTCAGGACAGCAAAACGCACACTCCAATGAAAGTGGCACAGCCACTGTGGGAGCCCTGGGGAGATGCGTGAGATATGAGGGAGGCCCTGCGGAAGAATGAACCCCAGCGAAAGGGACTTTGACAGGCCAGATTTTGGAAGGTGGGGATGGGGGGCGGGGCATCCCAGGCAAGGGGCACAGCAGAAGGCCTGGATTCCAGAAGGTGGGAAGGTCATCTGGGAAACACTCAGGCATCTGGAAGCCATTTCTAGATAGCCTCTCAGATCGCATAGGGGAGACTGCCTCCATCTGCTTTACAGATGGGGACACTGCGGGGTTTGGAGGCCGAAAGGGCACCGGAATCATATCTCTACACCCAGACTGAGCGCTGAAGGACGAGCCTGCTTGTCTTCTGCGGGCCTCCACGTGGCGTGGTGCCTGTGGCCGATCGAAAGGGTACGACGGTGCCCATACCCGCCAACAACCCGGCTGCTGGAGAAAGATCACCAGCTCAAAAACGGGGAGGCTGAGGGCGGCCACCCCCGCCCCAGCAGCTCCGCCTCCCGATTCACGTGACATTCCGCCCCGCACAGCCATGGCGGTTTAGGTCCAACGAGAACGATACTCCGATTGGACAGTCAGAAGGAGGCCCGCCTTCTAATGGAGCCTCTGCGCACGCGCAAGGTCCTTTGGCCAATGAAGAGCCGATAGGCTGTCCGTGTCGCGTCACTTCCTCCGCCCCTGTTTCCAGGGATAAGAAACCCTGCGCCGAGAGTTCATTCTTTCCCAGGCGGCTGCCGAAGATGGCGGAGGGGCAGGTGGGGTTTCGCGCGTGCCGGTGTGGCATGGGCTGGGCTGGGTCCAGGCTGCAATGGGGTCCGACTCTTCCCATTTCTCGTGTTTGTGTTTTGCAATTCAAGCTCAATAGTTAAGCAGAACGAGAGGCTTTTAGGTTCCGGGGAATTTGCAACGAGGAATAGGAGATACTGGGTTTGTGTCTGGACTGGTTAACATGCGGCACCGTTGCTTCCCGAGGGCACTGGTAGGGGCTTTCAGATCTGGAAGAGTTATTTTAAAACTAGGCCTCGTTTCCCGTGATCTCATCCTGGCCTTGGTCAAATTGGGCCCGTGTGTCCCCAGCAATCGGGAACCACGCGGAAAGCGGCCGGAATCCTCGGCGCGATGAAATTCAAGGATTGGCCAAAATGGAGGGTCTTTCAACCTCTCACGCGAGTGCTGTCAGGGTTCTCTGCAGCTCTGGGTATTTGGTACGGAATCTTTAAGCAGCTAGGAACGAATTGCTCTTCTCTCGTACTTTTGGGGTTGATGTATGTCTGGAAAGCCCGTTGCTGCTAGAAGCAAATCTGTGACTGACAAAAGGCTCCAGGGCCCTGAGACATTATTTTAACCACCTGAGGCCCTTGGGAAGACAGCAGAAGCTTAGGTCTGAGTGCCCTGGTTCTTTGTATAACTGTCAGAAGGGAGGGGGTGGCTTTGGAAAGGGTATCCATATGAATTTCATATAATGGATCTGTGAAGAGGAAGGAAAAACTCCAGGATTGGCGCCAGGCAGGTCGTAGAGTTCTCCCAACGTGTGTTCTGCGTTTACGATGTGCCTGCCACAATTTGCATTGTGTAATTCAGTTAACTTATAACTGTGTTCCCGAGATGTTAACTCTCATCTTACCGATGAGGGAGATGAAGCGTGGAGAGTTGGAGATTTTTGGCCAAACTCACACTGTCAGGAAGTCTAGCTTTAAATTCTGCCTTCCAACATCAGGAAGTATATAACAAGCCTTGGTATAAGAGTGGGAACTCTATTCATGGTGAAGAAGCTGAAGATTGGGGTTTGAGGAGTTGGCCCGGGGATGCACAGCAGATCCAGCATGGGCTTTGTCTGTTCAACCTTGTCTCATTCTCTCTGAGTTGGTGTTCTTTGCAATAGTTAATGCTAGAAACTAGTTTACATTTGATACCTGCGGAGGGTAAGTTCTAACCTGTAGGGGACATTGTTGCTAGTCCAGTCTTGCTTCAAATCCTACCTTGGCCTCTGCCTTCAGACTTAACGTGGGTATAATAATTGCTGCCTGTCAAGCAGAGACATAGGGGCAGTTCTGTGGTGTCTTAGTCTGCTCACATAAATCCTGAGACACTTGATTTCTTCATTTATAAAGGGAGCCTTGGGTCCTGGTTGCTGGGTCTGCTAGCTGGGTGGGGGGCACCTGGAGTACATGGTGAAACAAGCAGGTAGAAAGCATTAGGTGCCTCTAAGTCCTCACCCTGTCTCCAGCAGGTCCTAGTACTCGATGGCCGAGGCCATCTCCTCGGCCGCCTGGCGGCCATCGTGGCCAAGCAGGTGCTGCTGGGTAAGTCTGCCCTCTGCCCGCCGCAACCCCCTAACATGAGCTCTGACCCAAGGTCAGTGATGAGCAACAATCACCATCTTTCGTTTGAGTCTCACGACCATGAGATCAATCCCATGCACCGCTCTGAGACCTGCTAGCTACTGCCTTCTGTGGACTTAGCCCAGGACAAAATATTCTTTCCTGTTGGGCTAACTCAAGCACAAGTCCAGCTCTGCCAGTTACTGCTCTGTGGCTCGGAGCGAGAGGCCTCCCTGCCGGGGCCTTGGCTTTTGTGCATTGCGGTGAGTTCCATGCAGAGGAGGATCCCCTTGTCCGGGTCCTCGGCAGTAACTGCAGGCAGGTGGTAGTCAGGTGTAGGGAGAGCCCTTCAGTATTTCCTGATCTTTGCGCCCTTGATTGTCTCACTTTCCTTTCTCTCTAGGCCGAAAGGTGGTTGTCGTGCGCTGTGAGGGCATCAATATTTCTGGCAACTTCTACCGGAATAAGTGTAAGTTAAGGCATAGGAGAAGGGCTGGAGAGATGGCTGTGAGGTGCTCAGGCTTCCCGGGCTCTGAAAACAATCCCCCAAGGGGAAGTCTCGTTTGAGTCCCTGGACAGGCCCTTGGGAGTGTGGGCATGTCCTGGAAGAAGTTAGCATTTGGCTGGGGACTGAGGCCTCACATTCTGCCCTCTCCTTAGTGAAGTACCTAGCCTTTCTTCGCAAGCGGATGAACACCAACCCATCCCGAGGCCCCTACCACTTCCGAGCCCCCAGCCGCATCTTTTGGCGGACTGTGCGAGGTGAGCTGGGCCTGGGGGCTGCAGGTGGTGCCAGGGCGGGTGGCCAGTGATGAGGACTTCTCCCACTGTGTTCGAGTTTCCCAACCATGAGATGACTCCACATGCACTACCATCTGAGGCCACCTGCCTTCCTGCCAGGGTGAGGGTCCTCGTGAGCCCCGCTGAGCAGGCCTGCTGTCCCTCTGCCCACAGGCATGCTGCCCCACAAGACCAAGCGAGGCCAGGCTGCCCTGGACCGCCTCAAGGTGTTTGATGGGATCCCACCACCCTATGACAAGGTGAGCTAGACCAGCCCCCTGCACAGCATCCCCATGCGGGGCGTCTGTGATGATCACCGTTACCTACATTGTTTGACCCTCATGAGAACAGCCCTGGCTGAGACGCCAGCCCAGCCAGCCTTCTTCCCTGCCTGTCTACTCCAGGTCTCTAAGCCCCTCTCCTTCTCTAACAGAAAAAGCGAATGGTGGTTCCCGCTGCCCTCAAGGTTGTGCGGTTGAAGCCCACACGAAAGGTGAGTTCAGGGTTCTCCTGAGTGGGCTTCCATGGGGCTCCCAGATCTAGTGGGGATGAGCTTAAGGTCCCCAAGACTGGCAGATGATGGCTTTTTCTCACGATGGTCTGCGGATGCCACTGTGGGCAGTGCCGATAATGCCAATGGCTTAGCTGATGCCAGGAGCCCCCCTACAGCAGGTGTGTCCCCAATTTAAGCTTGCGGGGAGAGTCTGGATTACTCCGTCCCAGGATCTTCTGGAGCTGTCAGCTGCCTTTCAGGGCCACTTTGGCCCCATCCAGGCTCCATTTCCTTACAGCCTCATCTCTTCCCCTCCACCAGTTTGCTTACCTAGGGCGCCTGGCTCATGAGGTTGGCTGGAAGTACCAGGCAGTCACAGCCACCTTGGAGGAGAAGAGAAAGGAGAAGGCCAAGATCCATTATCGGAAGAAAAAACAGCTCATGGTGAGGATGGGGGCAGGGCCTGTGCTGAGGGGACACACGCTCCCGGGCAGGGCCTGCTGGGTTCTACTTCTTGATGGGGGATGGTCTTTACCCTGAGGCCCACCCTGGAGTGGAGAGCCGGTCCCTGGGCCGAGGAGGGTCCATACAGCCACTGACCCATCATCTATCCTCTTAACCCCACAGAGGCTACGGAAACAGGCCGAAAAGAACGTAGAGAAGAAAATTGACAGATACACAGCAGTCCTCAAGACCCACGGACTCCTAGTCTGAGCCCAATAAAATTGACTGTTTATTCATCATGCTTGGCCTGGCCTGCCCTTCCTCCATCGCCGCCCTAGGATGTGGGGGACCCCAGGGGCTGCAGTTGGGGTGCCATCGGCAGCCTGGGGCTTAGGAAGCTGGGAACAGAAGGGGCGCCCAGGTCACTGTTGTTGAGGAAAAGCCTTTTTAAGTCGATAACCATTCTCGGAGCTCTGCAGGCAGTTTGCCTGTGGTTTGCTGGCTCCTGAGAGTTTAGGGGGAAAGTGACTGGACACCAGCAGTGCAGTGTCAGTATTTGCCAGTGAGCTGTGGAGCTCACTGAAGGGGACCCTACTCTCCTGTATTGTAAAGGGGGTGTCTGCTGAAGTTCCCACAAGGTCAGCTACTATACTCTGCAGCTGTTGACTGATGCATGTTTGGGGGCAGCAGAGCCGTGTGTCGCATGAGGTGTTCATTGGCGGTGTAGACTGGGAAGCCCAGCCAGGGGGTCACAGGCATCACCCTTGAGCTTTCCATGTACTTTGTGACCCGAAACTAATAAATTATTTTTAAAGAAATCTGGTGTCTTCGCAATGTGTGTCAGCTGTGGAGGCAGGCCCAGGGAAGCTCGGCCCTTGGCAAGGAAAAGGGGCTGGGAGAGGAAAATTGAGTTGAGTCACTTTACACACATGTTGGATTATAACCTGCCCCTTGTGGAAAAATTTTTAAACACTGAGGAACTTCCTGAGACTTAATTTGTTTCTCAAAAGGACCATGGCCTCTGGTGCCTGCTGTCAACCCAGGTCCCACTAAGTGGCAAAGTGGAATTGCCACCATCTTTCAAAACCAATCCTTCAGTGTGGGACAAGTGGGCTATTCGAGCATGATGCCATGCCAGGGCATTGGCTTTGTGTGAAGAAGCTTGGATAGCAGGAATCAGAAATGGGATACTGGTGTTCATACTGCTTTATAAGACCTCAAGGGAACATGAGGTCCACCAGGGGCAGTCCCTGGAAGGCTAAATGGGGCAGTTGGCAGATGCCCACCCTTGAAAGTCACCCCGGTGCCCTTTAACACCTGCCCAGGCACACCCAGTCCCCATTTTACTGTAGAGGTTTAGTCATCTACTAGGTGCCAGATGCAGGATCCCACACACAGCAGTCTGCTTTGACCTATGTAAGCAGATCAATACTGGAAAGAAAGCTAAGTCACACTGCCCTTGGCATTGGTGGGAAATACTGGAAGTTTTCTTATTTAGGATTACAAAATTCAAATGCCTAACGGCACAGAGAAGGCTAGTTAAATACAATGCAGATTTTACTATAGGTTGCTGGGCAAATGATAATGGACCAAGTCATTCCATGATGTTTAATCTCTCAACTGT